AGCCTTTGCATTATCGGTAAAATGCAAATAAATATCTTTCTGGCATTCTGTACTTTCAGCCGAAATCCATCTGACATCAGCAATGCTGTCCTTCATACTGCATCCTCTTCTGAATTTGGCATGACAGTTCTCTGTCATTGTTCTGCTGCAACCATTTTTAAATTACCTTCTGCAAACTTTTACTTGCACGTGATAATTTTCTAACCCAGAAATAGAAATAACCTAGAATTAGAAAAGCTAAAGGAAGAACATGCTCAGCATATCTTAAATGGAAAGAACTAAAGAAAACATTCAAACCTCGAGTTGCAATATTGAAAGACTCTATGATCTGAGCATCAAAAGAAGATGAAAAGAATACACAGTAACTGTACCAGTCAACTTTTAACCACTTGGAATGCTAGAATCTGAATAAGAACTAATGATACTGAAGAAGTCCAAGCTGTATTGAAAGGATTAGCCAAAAACAAGGCTCCAGGAATTGATGGAATGCCAATTAAAATGTTTCAGTACACTGGAAGCACTGGATGCACTCACTCATCTGGGCCAGTAAACTTTGGAAAATAACTACTTGGCCAAATGACTAGACGAGATCCATATTTGTACCCATTCCAAAGATGACCTAATAGAATGCACAAGTTATAGAACAGTATCATTGATTTCACATGCAAGTAAAATTTTGCTCAAGTTCATCTAACTGTGGTTGCAGGATTCTATTGACAAGGAAACTGCCAAAATTTCAGATGCATTCAGAAGAGGACATGGAAAAAGGGACATCATTCCTCACATCAAATGGAACTTGACTGAAATCTGAATACCAGAATGAGGTTTTCTTGTCATATGATTCACCTATGTGGATCATAAGAAACCATGAATAACCTTGAGAAGTGGGAAGTCCAGAACACTTCATTGTGTTCACATGGAACTTGTGCATGGATCAAGAGGCAGTTGTGCTAATGGAAGAAGGGAATCATGCATGGTTTCAAATAAGATAAAGTATTTGTAGGGCTGTCGCCTCTCATCATTCTTATTCTATCTGTATGTGGAATAAGTAATCAGAGAAGCTAAATTATATGAAGAAGAATGCAGCATCAGGATTTTTACAAAGGCTTATTAACAACCTCCGATATGCAGATGACCCAGCCTTGCTTGCTGAAAGTGAGGGGCATTTGAAGCACTTGAAGATCAAGGATTGCAGCCTTCAGTATGGAGGCTCAACATGAAGAAAAACGGAATCGTCATAACTGTGCCAGTAGGTAACAGTATGGTAAATGGAGAAAATATTGAAGTTCTCAAGGATTTCATCTTGCTTGGATCCATAATCAAGGCTCATGGAAGCAAAAGTTTAGAGATCAAACGATGCATTGCATTAGGTAAATGTGTTGCACAAAAGCATTTTAAAGTGTTGAAAATCAAGGAACACATGACCCAAATCATATTTTCAATTGCCTTATATGCATATGAAAGTTGGACATTGAATAAGGAAGACTGAAGAAAAATTGATGAATTTGAGCGATGCTGTTGACAAAGAATATTGAACTGGTCTGTCAAAAGAACAAACAGATCTATCTTGGAAGAAGCACAGCCAGACTGCTTTTTAGATACAAGATGGCAAGACTTCATCTCACATACTTTGGACATGTTATTAGGAGAGACCAGTCCCTGGAGAAGGGCATCATGAGTGGTAAACTGACAGGTCAGCAAAAAAGATGAAATCCCTCCACACAGTGGCTGGAACAGAATGGTGTAAGGACTGGGCAATATTTCATTCTATTCTTAGGGTTACTATGACTCAGAATTGACTTGATAGCACCTAAAACCAACACGATGTTACTGTTTAGTAACACCTGCATTCTATTGGATCATTGTTTTGGGGATAGGAGGGAGCACAGCATGGGGACAGGTATAGACAAGCATAGATCTCTTCCACTTAGTCTGGTAGCTCTCTTCCAACATTTCTTGGCATAGTTGAGTATGCTGCATTGTCTGTTGAAACAGTTTAATTAGTAACTTATCAGAATCTGGAGCTTTGTTTTCACCATTGCCTTCATTGTTGTTCAGCCCTTTCCACCTTTCAGTATTGCAATTGGAGAATTAATTTTTTTTCCATTCTTTGAGTTTGAAAATTATCAAGCGTGCACCTAGCTCCCTTTTGGTTTTCTAATTCCAGGTCTATGCACATTCCATTATAATACTTCTTCAGCTATCCTTAGAAACCTTCTCTTTTTCTGTTTATGACTTAATTTTTTCTTTAAGAGTATTTTGGAATGTCTGTGACATCTATTGAAATTCTTTGAAATCTTTCTACTGACGGCCTAGGATCCTTGATTAGTCAGTCGCATTTGAATAATATCAGAGTACGAGGAATCTCACAATTTTGTTAAAATACATTACAGCTATCATAATCAAAGCAACTTGGTACTGGCAGATCAATCAGATAGGATTGAAATTCCAGTAATAAACCCACACATTTACAGCCAATTTATTTTTTATAAGGGTGCTAAGTCCTTGAGATAAGGACAGTAATTTCTTTAATAAATGAAGCTTGGGAAATGGATATTTTTATGCAGACGGATGAAGATGAATCATATTTCAAAAATGATCAATGCACCTAAAATGGATGAAGAACCTAAATATAAGTAATACAGCCATAAAACTTCTAGAAAAATAAAACATAAAGTTGTGACTTTGGACCCAGTTTTTAACCAGTAGACTTAGATCTGGCACTAGCATTAAAAAACAAAGTAGGCATTGTCAATAAGGGGGAGTGCAGAGTGGAGACCCAAAGACCAGATGTGGCAACTGGACACCCCTTTACTGAAGGGTCGTGGGGAGGAGACGAGCCAGCCAGGGTGCAGGGTAGCAATGAAGAAACATACAACTTTCCTCTAGTTCCTAAATGCTTCCTCTCCCCACTATCATGATCCCAAGTCTACCTTACAAATCTGGCTAGACCAGACAATGTACACTGGTACAGATAGGAACTGGAAACAGGGAATCCAGGGCAGATGATCCCTTCAGGACCAGTGGTGAGAGTGGCAATACCAGGAGGGTGGGGTGGAAAGGGGGAACCAATTATAAGGATCTACATGTGACCTCCTATCTGGGGGACGGACAACAGAAAAGTGGGCAAAGGGAGACGTCGGACAGGGCAAGATATGACAAAATAATAATTTATAAATTATCAAGGGCTCGAGGGAGGGGGGGAGCAGGGGAGGGAGGGGAAAAAATGAGGACCTGATGCCAGGGGCTTAAGTGGAGAGCAGATGTTTTGAGAATGGTGAGGGCAATGAATGTACAAATGTGCTTTACACAATTGTGTATGTATGGATTGTGATAAAAGTTGTATGAGCCCCTAATAAAATTATTAAAAAAACAAAAAGTTGAAATATTGGACTTTTTAAAAATTAAAAAGTATTGTTTGACAAAGGTCTTTTTATAACAAAGACACAACCTAAAGCAAGAACAGTTTTGGAAACTATTAGAAACAGTTTGATACCCGAATATGTAGGCATATACAGAATTCTTACAACTTTAAAGATGACCCAGTTAATAAAATGGGCAAAGGACTTAAATAGACATTTCACTAATGGGAAATACAAATGGCCAGCAAATGTAAGAAAAATGCTAAATCTTTGTATGCATTACAGAATTGAAAATAAAAGCCATACTGAAATACCACCTCACCAAGATCCTTATAGTTAATGGGGTGGGGCGTGGTCAGGGGTAGAGACAACTAGGGTTGGCTGGGATGTGGAGAAATTGGTTCCCTCTTCTGTGGCTGATGGGATTATAAAATTAGTGAGTTACTTTGGAAAGCGTTATATGTTAGAAAGTTGAATATAAACTTACCATTTGACTCAGCAATTCTACCCCAAGTTAAATACTCAAAAGAATTGAAACTGAGAATACAAGCTGCCAGATTTTCACTCATGTTTACTGTAGCACTGTATACAATAGCCAAAAGATGGAAACATATCCACCAACACAGGAATGGATAAAATATATACAATGCATTAAATTGTGTGTGCTCATTTTAAGCTATCACAGTAGTCACAGTTCATCAGTGGTTACTAGGGGCAAGATGTGGGGCAAAAGGAGACATGCAGTAAATGTCATTGAATTGCCCACATAAAAAATGTTTGGTGCTATAATGCTTTTATTTTAGCACATTAAAAGCCAAACAAAATTAATTCCAAATGTTTTATTTTCTCCATACTTAAAAAAAAATAGTTGTAAATCTTTAAACCCAGTTTAAAAATAGTCTCAACTTTCTCCCCATTTTTTCTGTCAAGTCATCCCTTTACCTTAGGTGGTCGTGTTATGTATGTTTCCCAGGCCCCCTGCATCTTAAGTTCTTAATTGAGCAGAGTACAGTTAACCACTTCTTTCTCAAGACAGTTTCTTCATCTGTCTACTATGGTACACATCCAAACTTTTCTCCCTTCTGTGGGGAGACATCTAAGTTTCTTTTGCTGATCTTTCTGACTCTGTTTAACCTCTAGATGTTAAACAGATGTTGGCACTTCTCAGTATTTAAATCTAATCACTCTATTTCCTTCGAATTTTTTCAGTAATTCCATTCATTCCTGTGACTTTATATAATTTGTATGTCCATTCTCATATAAAATATGAGATATAAAATCCAAAAGTTGGCCCATTTTTTATTTATTGGTTCCTTTGTGTATGCGATTCATAAAAACTTGTGCTTATAAGAGAGAAACATCATGTAACAAAATAATGGTTGTGGGTATGGAAGATTTTTATTTTCTTCTGTGTTACTTGAATTTAATAAAGTTTACAAAACACTCAAATGTTTCATCTCATACTGTCAACAATTATAGAATCTAAATGTCAATTTCCATTCTTGGAAATCGGTCCCTTACATGTCTTTATGATGTTCTTGCCATTTCCTTTAAAGCAGCCCGTCTCAGTCTTCAGTGTGTTTCACTGTGTTCCAGCTACCTTACCGTTATTTATTGTGTCTTTTTTTGAACCTACAGGTGGATTTGACATGGAAGTCAAAGGTTGGGGTGGAGAAGATGTTCATCTTTATAGAAAATACTTACACGGAGACCTTATTGTGATTCGGGCTCCAGTTCCTGGTCTCTTCCACCTGTGGCATGAGAAGCACTGTGCAGATGAATTGACCCCTGAACAGTATCGCATGTGCATCCAATCCAAAGCCATGAATGAAGCCTCACATTCACACCTGGGAATGCTGGTCTTCAGGGAGGAAATAGAAACGCACCTTCATAAACAGGCATACCGGACCAATAGAGAAGCTGATCATTAATATCATAATTAATACAGTACCATCTGAACTACAAACCAATACCATTTATTTAGCCTTAATTCCCATTAGTGATACAGAGAAGAAAGGTATTACCATGTTTGCACTGATGAGTCGTCATAAACACACACACACACACACACACACACACACACACACACGTGTTTCAAAATACAGAGCCTTTGTTTTATTCTGAGAGAAGGCAGAAAGCAAAACTTTAATGATGCTTGGCCATTATAATTTTGTGCAGGATTGATAGAATAAGTTGCTATAGACTTCTGAACAATCAGAAATAACCATGGCAATATTTTTAATAGAACATTTGATTTTGTTGAAGTGTAAGATAGTACTGTATCTGGGAACATCAGTTAATATGAGTAAGCTGTATCAGGACCTATTTGTGGCTGTTCACAGCATGGTTTTGGTTTTGAACTTTGTTTTTTCTCATTCAACATGGATGCATATATATTTATTCTTTCTAATATGCCTCTGGAAAAATATGTTTGCATTATTATATTTTGAGTTGACACAGTTTTGATGAGTGGAAATAAGTTAATGAAATATAAGATCACCTATTTGACATAACTGTGTAGAGAGGGGAAGCTAAATTTTAAAATTTGAATTATAATTCAGAGGAATGCATTATATTACTTGTAGCTAGCACAATATTGTAATTGAAGTGTAAGCCTTACTAATGTGATAAGATGAATAAAAAATTCTATTCAGAGAGTATTATACAGTATTACACATGGATCTTTTACATAAATCTAGAAATTGGAGATATGGTGAAAGATATGTACAAGTTTTAAACCTATTAAAACAGACCTATATTGAATTATTTTGTACATAAACTCTTGAAAATTCACAGAATAAAGCACATTATACTTTTTGTTTGGTAAATCATCTCATTTGAAATATAAAGTCCCCATTCAGCTGGGTGTGCCAACTGAATTATTTAACAGTAATTTTTACTAATGCTTCGAAGAACTTTTAAGTTGGGGCAGTATTTAGGCATGTTTTTAACTTTCTCTACAAAATTATTAGGGCTGGCATCATTTATACATGAAATTCCTTTGTGAGCTATTATGAAAACACTAATTATGGTATTTAAAGTGAGGGAGTATAAAGGTAACACCAAAGTTAGGTTGCTGCTTGTCTTTTGTCAGAATCAAATGACTACCTTTTCTCCTATTTTTGTCAAGCCAGCTTTTTATTAAAAGTTAGAAATTAAGCAAGGAAACATTAACTGGTGCTAATGAAGTATTTAAGTTTTTAAGTTTATTTAAAAAGTTAAATGAAATGTGTTAAATTTCTATTATAAAGCATTCTCAAATACAGAACACTGGATAGTGTGATTGTGTAGCTTAAAGAATAATAAAATGAATACCAGGTACCCAGAATAAGATCCAGTGTTTTTAGTGACAGTCTCATGTGCCACTTAATAAGCACATGCCCTTACTCTGTCCCTAGAATTCGTATCCTGATATTTGTGATAATTATTGCCTTATTTTTCTTCATAGTTTTTATGCTTGTATATGTACTCATATTTACTATAGTTTGTTTTGCCAGTTTTAAAATTTATATACATTATTTCATTACATATTTTTCCTACATTGCTTTCATTTAGTATTATTTTTGAGATTCACCTTAATAATCTCAAAATTAGTTCAGTTTATATTAAATAATTTTTATGGATTAAATGGTGGCCCTACCCCCAAACAAATATATGTTGGAATTCTAATAATCCCTATACCTATGTATGTAATCCCATTTGGCATTAGTGTTTTCTTTATTATGTCCATGTAAGGAACTTCATTAGACCTAAATTACCTTTTTTTAAAAGAACCTTATTGTGGATTAGGTAAAGATTAATACTGCAGATTAGTTTTTCATTCAGTAATTCATATACATTTTATTTCACATCACTAACTTCAACCCCTACAATGTAATGTCACATCCCATTTATCCCTATTTTTTTTCAAAGACAAAAAGTCTTTTTTTAACTTTTTTAATTAAAAGATCATTTTATTGAGGGTCTTACAACTCCTATTACAATCCATGCATCAATTGTGTCAGGCAAATTAAAAAATTTTTTTTAAATTGTTTTATTAGGGGCTCATACAACTCAGCACGATCCATACATACATCAATTGTGTAAAGCACATTTGTACATTCATTGCCCTCATCATTCTCAAAACATTTTCTCTCCACTTAAGCCTCCAGCAGTAGGTCCTCATTTTTCCTCTCCCTCCCTGCTCCCCCCTCCCTCATGAGACCTTTATAATTTATAAATTATTTTGTCGTATTTTGCCCTGTCTGACGTCTCCCATCACCCACTTTTTTGTTGTCCATTCCCCAGGGAGGAGGTCACATATAGTTCCTTGTAATCAGTTCCC